CCTCCACTCTGGACCCTGGTGGCAAACTGGGTTGCAGTGGGCCAGCAGCTTCTGCTGATTTGGAGGGGAGCTGGCGAGCAGCCAGCAGCATCCTTTGTGTCCAGAGAAGCACAACGAAGTTGGTGAAGGGTCTGGAGAACAAGTCTAATGAGGAGCTGCTGAGGGAACTGGGGTTGTTCAGCCTGGAGAAGAGGAGGCTGAAGGGAGACCTTCTCACTCTCTATAGCTTCCTGGAAGGAGTTTGTGGTGAGGTGGGGTTGGTCTCTTTTCCCAAGTAACAAGTGATAGGACAAGAGGAAACAGCCTCAAGTTGCACTGGAGGGATTCAGATTGGATATTAGGAAAAATTTATTCGTGGAAAGGGTTGTCAAGTCCTAGAATAGGGTGCCCAGGGAAGTAGTGAAGTCCCCATCGCTGGAGGTATCTAAAAGCTGTGTAGACGTGGTGCTCGGATTCATGGTTTAGTGGTAGGCCTAGCAGTGCTGTGTTAACAGTTGGACTCGATGATCTTAAAGGCCTTTTCCAACCAAAACGATTCTGTGATTCTATGTGTTGCTTCCTTGGGATTGTGAGAGCCCAAGGGAGAAGCAGGAATAGGAGTTCAAAGGGAGCAGATGGACCAGTCACGCCTCATGCTGGCATACCCCCGTGGAGGAGGGGGTGCTTATTTTCAGGCTGATTGTACTTCTCTGATTCCGAATGCTTTGGATGTTCCCGTGTGCAGAATTCATTGCAGCGCTGCTGGAGGTTTGCACTTGCTGGTTTGGCAAGTCCTGTGTCGGGCAAACATTGACAGGCGGTTTTCTGCACAAACAGTTCTGGCAAGAGGGCTCTTTATGAATGCACAGACTTTGGATCCCTGCAGCAGCTCGTTCAGGGGATAATTATCAGGGGAGCAATTGATTTTTTTGGACTGTTTCTGCACAGTCTCAGCGATACGTGCCAGAGGCTCTTCGATAGAGCTGCAGCCTCACTAGATGCATGTGCAGCCTGACATACTAGAAGTAAAAGATGTCACCACAGTGAGAGAATTTTGACAGTCCCTCTAGTTTAAGAGCTCTTTTCCAACCCCCTGTGAGCTAAAAAGGTGCCTGAGAATTGCAAGAGTAGACGCCGGCTCTGTCTTCTGGTGCTGGTCTCTAAACCGGCTTCCACCCAGAGGCGAATATCCCAGTGGGATATTCGTCCCACTGCCCTGGCCTTACTGGTGGCCCCTCAGGGCATGATGCTCCAGGGCTCCTCTGAAGTTTTTTTTAAATAAAAATAAACGCTTGAGGATTTGATTGCGTGTCTCCATTCACAGAAAACATTTGCTGTGTTTCCTTTGCACCCTTGGTTACACCAGGTGCTGTCTCTGAATGGCACTGGTAATGGTAGACAGCGAGCAGAATGTGCATCCTGAAATACTTTGGGGTCTTCCAGTTTGGTCACTCCTTTTCCCTGCGAATCAGGCTGGAGGGTTCACAAACTGATCTGCTTACAGATTTACGTGAACTCACTTTCCACAAGGTTTTCCGCTGGCTACACACAAGCAGCTGAATGCCTTTTGTTATGTTTTTTTCTGTTTTTGTCTGCAGGAAAACCGTCCGATCCCAGAACCGGGTCCCAATGGTAGGTCTAGAGATCACTCTGCTTTCATTACTAATCTCTTTCTTTTCTCATTCTCGTTCATTGCTCCTTGATACGATGCAAGAGGTAAAATATTCCTGAGAAAGTGCAAAATAATCCAAAAAAAGAATGTGTCGCTGACACAACACGTGACGTTGCCACTTGAAAAGAAGAACTGGGGCACTCACAGCTACACCCCTTTATCTGGCTTATTTTTTTGCTTCCTGTTCTATCAGTTCATGTATTTCCCGTTAAACAGCTCTTGGGACATGTCAGATGATCTTACTGAAGGACTGTATATGAATAAGCTGACAGAAATTTGATTTGCTAACTTACCAGGGCTGAAATCATAGCTTAGGGAGAAGGAGAAATTAAATGGACTTACTTTTTTATTCTTGCTCCAGTCACCCCCCTCTTAGATTGTATTCACTTTTGTTCGTATTTCACTGGGAAGCTTTTCTACAAGGAACCTTTCTCCCTTTTCTGGCAGAGGTCCTCCTGCGGATGCATTCCGTTGGGATCTGTGGGTCCGATGTTCACTACTGGCAGCACGGTCGAATCGGGGATTTCGTTGTCAAGAACCCCATGGTGTTGGGGCACGAAGCTTCCGGGACTGTCGTCAAAGTGGGATCAGGGGTGACTCATCTGAAACCAGGTAATTGGAGGCAAAACTGTCTCTCCATTTGTTTTCCCACTCACCAGCACCTGAAGGCGAGCTTTTATTTTTTTTATTTCTCTGATGTTTTGAGCTGTGAGTTACGCAGTGACATTCTCCTTCAAAGAGTGTCACGGTGCTGTGTGGCCACTGTAGCTTGTGGTATTTCTTAGGCACGGCATATCTTGAGCTGCTCTGACTTGTGTTTTAACACTGTTTGTGTTCCCTCACTGTGTGTTCTCGAAGGAGTGAAAGGCCTCCTGCAGTTTAGAGCGGATGCTGGAGCAACTGTCCCAGGGCCCATGGTGTGACCTCTGCAGCTCGCTCTGCTCATGAATGTCATAGAAAATGGGCCGACTGGTGAATTTTGCCGAGTTTGCCCATTCTAGCAACTTAGACAGGGTAGAGAGGACATGGAGAGCAGCAGGAGTAACGGAGAGACCTTAAGAGTGCCTGGGCAATAAGATGCAGGTGAAGCTTGGTGCAGATAAACATCAAGTGGTGTCTATGACAGGAGAAGCTAAAGCAGCTTCATATGTAAAATGACGAGCCTGCTGTCACTGCTGGAGACTGAGACCTTTGGCTCTGACACAGCGCAGGGGAAGTGTTGGCTCAGGAACAGTGTAGAATGCAAAGCAGTGATAGGAAAGGGACCGGGACTCGGGTCAGAGGACGTTATTGCATGTCTGGAGCTCCGCGTGCAGTTCTGCTCTCCTCCTTTACAAAGGGAAACAGGAGAGCTTGAAGGGAGGACAAGTTGATGACAAAATGTGGGGCAGCATCTCAGTGATGGATGGCTAAGTTAGGAACTGGAACTAGGAGCTGGAGAGACAACTCAGGGATGTGTGACACAGTGGAATACAGTGGGAAGCTGGGAGAGTATTCTACACACGCCTTTCCTGCTCTTCTTACCCCTTTTGGCCAAATTAGAGGAGGTTACATGGGGTGAAGGCTGCCTTTTCATCTGCTAAGGTGAAAGCTTTTCCAGTTCAAGGCGGCTGGAGGGAGGCTTGCGTGTGATGGAGCTTCTGTTTGCTCTGTGTTGCACCTCTGGAACTTCTCAAGTAGCCGTGACAAGGTCACTGCGAGGGAAGCGTTGGGAACGTGCCTGGTGCATGCAGCATGATATTCTCATGCTCCTCTTGTGCCAGGGTTTCACACTGGCTTCCGTGGTTGTTGGGTGCTGCTCGTAGCTACGTGCCCTGCTTCTTCCCGAGTAACACAGCCTGCTTTTGCTCTGGCAGGTGACCGTGTGGCCATCGAGCCCGGTGTCCCAAGAGAAATGGACGAGTTCTGCAAAACCGGCCGCTATAACTTGTCTCCGACCATCTTCTTCTGTGCGACGCCTCCTGACGATGGCAACTTGTGCCGCTACTACAAGCACAGTGCCAGCTACTGCTACAAGTTAGTTGGTGGTTCCTCTGCAGAGGAATATGTGTTCCCCCGGGGGGAATTAGCTGAAGCGATTGCCTCTTGGCCCTTTAGAGTATTTCAGCAAGCGCTCTTTGCTCAAACGCAGTGGTTTTTGTTGCTTTCTGATCCGTAAAGAGCATGCGTGAGGCTTGGATGGCAGCCACTTTGCAGAGGTGTAGTTTTTTCCCTCTGGTGCCAGACATAAACAAACATTTCTTGCACACTTCCTGGGATGTCGCCACTGTTTTACCCTTTAATTATTTTCCTTTTCCCATTTGCTCCCTGCTCTTGCTTTCTTTTCTGTGGTCTTTTTTTATATCCTTGCCATTTTCAGATGATCTTTGTTTGATTCTCTGCACGGAGCTGGCTCTGTCATTTGAAACAAAGTCATCCTATTTAGAGTAGAACAGGAACGGAAAACCTTGTTCTTGGGAGGGAACATCTGGTTTGTAGCTCCCTTATTCCGGGGTCTTGCTTTTTTTTCTTTCTGATTTGAGTAAATATCACTTTGGCTAATTTTAAATTATTTTTTTTGTCTTAAGCTTTCAAATGCCAAAGCCTGGATCTGCTGCTCCCGGTTTCAGATCAGCAGTGATCTGCCGGGCAGGCCGTCCAGGGCATCATGGAGAGACCTGGATCTGGTTGCCTTTGCTTTCTGTGACAGCAAGATGTTTTCTAAAAGCGTGGAATAATTCAACCTGTATGAGGGGTCTGGGAGCTCACCAGTGGGTCTCAGCTTTTGAGGTGGTGTCTGCACAGCTGTGGGGTTTATGCTGAAGTTTTTGCATCACTATTTTTGACCTTTGGGTGAACCTCGCTCGGAAATGGTGTAGGTGCCCTTGGTGCTGCTTCAGAGGAGGGGAGGAGGCAATATAACCTCTTAAAACGTATTCCAGCCCTGCGTTTCTCAGACCAAGGGTGAGAGTGTGTTTTGCTGCTGTGATTTAGACCTGTGCTTGGCCTTTGAACATCACAGCTTTCCTCATCGCCCTCATAAAGCTCTTCTTGTGTCTCTCATTCTTGCAGGCTCCCAGATAATGTCACCTTTGAAGAAGGAGCCCTTATCGAGCCCCTTTCGGTGGGAATCCACGCCTGCAGAAGAGCCGGAGTCACTCTGGGAAGCAAAGTCTTTGTGTCTGGCTCTGGTACGGTGAACATACTCGCTCCTTGGGTTCTCTGCCTGCTGTGGCGTGGAGCAGGAATAACTGACAGGATGCAGGCTCTGCTTCTAGGTTCTGCATGGGTCACAGCAGAGTTACAGGGGTGCTGAGAAGGACCTTGAGGATGTCTTTGCAGTGTCTGGGCTTGCTGAGCTTGAGGGAGCGATAGCTGCTCTCTCAGCTACCTCGGGATCGTGGTGATGCTGCATGGCCGGAGCCTGGGAACACGCCAAGCTCTTTGGTGCTGTCTGGCAATTGTCAGTGTTCTCTTTCTCCCCTTTGTACTCAGGACCAATTGGCCTTGTTAACGTGCTCGTTGCCAAGATGATGGGTGCAGCAGCTGTGGTAATTACAGGTATGTCCTTTTTACCCATAAAAGCTTGCCTGTTTCACAAGATATGACACTTTGACTGGTTCTGAATGATTCCTTAGAATCATAGAACAGTTTCAGTTGGAAGAGACTGATCATTGAGTCCAACCTTTGTCCTAGTCCTAAACCACTAAACCATATTCCTAAGCAGAACATCCAGCTGTCTCTTAAGCTCCTCAGAGATGGTGACTCAATCACCTCCCTGGGCAGGCTGTTCCAATGCCTGACAACTGTTTCAGTAAAGAAATTCTTCCTAATATCCAACATGACCCTCCTCTGGTCCCCTTGTCCTGTCACTCACCACTAGGGAAAACAGATCAACCCCTGCCTCGCTACAACCTCCCGTCAGGGAGTTGTAGAGATCAAGAAGCTCTCCCTCTTCTCCAGGCTAAACAAGCAGGTCACCCTCTGATAGAAGGAGTTCAGGTTTGTTGAACAGGACCTGCCCTTCATGGTAACTGACAAAAGACTTTGCTCTAATTGGGATCTCTAAGAAAATGCAACCAGTGCTTCGCAGCTAGGTGAGCAGACCGGGGTCATAACTTCTGTGTCCTAGCACTGCCAAGTTGTGCAAATGGAGTAGCTGCAGTGCTTCAAGGAGAAGAAACCAGAGGCTGATGAGCTGAGGGACCTTTTTAAGTCTGTTCTGAAGAGGCAACGTGTGTTTATGATGAAGCTCTGAGTTACAGAAACTCTGCTTCCTACTCCTGCCTCAGGTCACTGACCATTTCCTTTTTTTTTTTTTCTTTTCCCGTTTTTCGCTCTTCTGACCTCACCTTTGTGTTTGCCTCAAGCCTTGAGGATCAGATTTTGGCTTCCCTGTAGTGCTTGTTAAATGTGCTTCCAGTCTTCATCTAGGCATGCAGACCAGGCAACAGAGTGTATTTTATACCCCATTCGCAGCTATTCTTGAAGGTTTGCTTTGAGCAGGTTTTTTTCCTTCCTCTTGTAGTGCTCAGTGATCGTGTTTGCACCATCTGCAGCCACATTATGCATCTCCAGGCCTCCTTTGCTGCCCTTCTTTCTGCTGTCCTGTTGAGGTGGTTCGTTTCCAGCTCCTGCTGTGACTCTCATCCTTCTGAGTGGTGGTGGCTGGAAGGAGCAGTCATGGGTACGACTAGACAATGAGCACAGGTCGCTGCAGCCTTTTGGGGTCAACTTGGACCTTTCAGTAGGCAGTTACTCCACCTTCCGTGCTTTGGGCTGGGTATATTTTTGACCTCTCAATTACTGCGTTCCCATCTTTGGGTCATGAGACAAAATTCAGCTCCCACCCTTCTTACCTTCTGCAGAAGCATCCATCAGTAGTAGCTTCTGTCGAAACCTAACGCCTTCACCTCCCTAAATCCTCTTGTTGCCAAGTCCAGGGCATATTTTTTCAGTCTTCTGGCCCCACCCTGCAGGCGTGTGCTTGGTGGACGTGATCAGTCCGGCCTTCAGGTTTTGCAAAGTGCTGTCGCTTGAGGATGAGCAGGAAAATCAGCTCTGCCTCTTGAATCACCTACGAGGAACCTTGCCGCCAAGCTGGGGCAGGGGCTGGTGGGTGACGGGGTCGTTGGGTGGGGAAGGCTGAGCTGGCGGAGGTTGGTGGGGCTGGTTCAACCTGCTGCCCCATCCCTGGTCCTCCCTGGGCATATCTTCTTCTTCTGGGTAGCACGAGAAGCTGCCGTCGCCGCTGCTCCTGGGGGACCTTTGGCAAGCAGGTCTCTAGGACATGCCCAACAGGGCTCCAAATGGCTGTAGAAGTACTTGGGACTGTGTTTGTAGGCTCAGTGAGCTTGGCTATGTGGAATTAGCCCCTTCTCAACTTGGCCCAACTTGTAGGCATCTCCCACCTGAGAGGTGTTTGGCCGAGATGCTCATTCGATGAGGTGCTGCCCCTGGTCAAATATTTGTACATGACAGAAGCTTAAGGAATGGGTTTAGTTTGGCTTGTTGCCACCAGGGATTTTGCCTGCCCTTCTCAAGGAACTGCTTTTCTGTGTCAGCTTGAGGAACCGACACCTGTGAGGTGACTGACTGCCCACAAATGCCCCCTTGTACATCGCTACCAGATTCTTTGGATTCGTTGCCCAGAGTTTTTACGATGTGTTTGTGAAAAGCTTTGTCTGTGCAGCACTTAAGGCTTTAAGCGTTTATTTTGATAAGCTGCACACAAATATAGAAATACCTAGAAGAGCCTTTTCGTCACCTGGGGAGAAGTCGGTTCCTATGCCTTCTGCGACGAGTGCCTTTGGCACAAAGACCACAGATCTTGGGAAAGTTATGTCTTGGCCAAGGGGTCAGGTCGCTTCTCTGGAGCTGTAGCTAGAGATTTAATGCTGAGCCCTACCCATCCAAAAGCTTGTGAGTGCCTAAGTGCTTGGACTCAGTCTTAAAAGTCTCTTCCAACTGAAGAGATTCTGTGATTCTGTGTGGAAGCTTGCCTTTCCTCCCAGGTAGAGCATGTTGTCTGATAAATTAGAGCTGACCTTTGCCCTTCTCCCTGAGGTGCTTTATTCCTGGCAATTCCTTTGCTTGCAGGAGGTTCAAGGTATTTAATTGGCTGCAGAGGATTGGTTGGTTTCATGGTTTCTCGTTTGCTCTTCCCTAAGGTCTGTGGCTTTCTCCACTCCGTTGCTGAGTAGGTGTGGTTGATATTTGTGGGCGACCTTCTCCTGGCCTTCTCCCTTGCTGTGGACATCGGTGTTGCTCCAAAAAGCTGTTTTTCTCCTTAGAGGAGTGTAAAAGAGCAGCCTTATTCCGCAGCAAGTGAAGCGACACTTTGGGTCTTTGTGTGGTGGTGTAGGGCTGTCTTGCCTTACTCTGTTACTAAAGTAGTGATTCCTACTAGTAATTCCTACTTCAGGGAAACTATTCCCCTTGTGCTATCTAAGTCTGAAGTCCTGGGTGCTGGTGCTGACACCCTGGAAGTCAAAGTCAGGGAAGATGAATAGAATTCAGCTCCTTTGCGAAAGAGGATTGACACAGAATGTGTGATAACGTCCGCGAAAGTGGAGATACAAGAACGGGCTCCTTGTAGTCTGGCAGCCAAAACTTTAATTAGCTCCCGCAGCCAAGAAGTGAAAACAAATTTCTGACCAGAAGCAAGATGCAGCCCTTTAATCATAGAGTTGACCACTTTCCCAAGAGTTGTGTGAAGTTTGGCCACAGTGAGATCTAAAATCTGTTAGTTGCTGGGCAGATACTACGAATAGCTGAGGCTTGTGTTTTGAGACCAAACTCGAGGCCTGGTGCTCGGAGCTTGGGAGGGCCTGACGTGACTAATGCCTCCTGCAGCCGCAGGAACGGGAGCTGACATTGGGGCTGCCAGGGTGATGCTGCCCTGACTTTTCAGCCTTGGCTTTTCCTCCTCCATCTGCATTTCATTACCCTTTGTTAATCGGCTTCTTGAAACTCCCTCCTGCAGGTCTCCTCGACGGGTGTGCCTGCACCCGGCATCCTGAGCACTCCCGCTGCCGGTGGGAACATGTCCATTGCTTGTCCTGGCAGTGAGGAACGTCGCGTTCCCTGCATGATGGGCAGGGGTAGGTCTTCTGGCCTGGCTTCCTCCCAGCGCCGAGGCTGAGTCAGAACAGCTTGTGCTGGAGCAACAGCCTCATCCTCCTTCTCTTTTTCGGTTGGTATTTTCCCTCCACTCACATCTCTGCATTCTGTGTCCTGGAGAGGAACGTGCCCCTGGCAAAGGCATCATTTTCTGAGTGTTCAAGCCTAGGACCTCTGGCAGGAGATGCTCCTCACCCCTCAATTCGTGTTCTAGGAAATCTCGGCTGGTAGAGCTCAGTTTCCACCTTGGATCTGGACATCTCTTCCAGTGCCAACACGGAGGTCCCTGTAGACCAGTGCTCCAGTGCAAGAGGTTCTTTCTGCTTGGGAAATGTCGCTCATCTCTGCTTCCACCTCCAGAGGTATCCTGGTCACCAGTGGTGCCTGGAGAAAGATGGGACACACTTAGTATTGACAACTGATGAGTTCTGCAGCTCGCTTAGCTGAAGGCATCTGCTGATGGTTCACTAGGGAAGCCCTTGGGGATCTCACACTCTCAGCTGGTACTGTTAGAAGTGAAATGGCCACGTTAGTAATCCTCTGGGCCTGGCGTCTCCTGTCAGAGAGGCTTCTTAGTGCTTCACTCCCCATAAGCTCCTGAACCATCAGGGTGCAAAGTCAGAGCAACCCTGCCCTGCTTCCTGCTTGTGGCGTCAGTTTCTTCACTCAGACGTTGCCTAGAAAACCCTGCCTTCCCACTGGTGGCATGAATTTGAGGTAGGGAGCGTAGACCCTTTCTTCTCCTGGTCGCGTGCTGCCATGTTCCGACCCCAGATGTGCGTGAGGCTCTTTGGTGGTGGCCTCCTTGCATCAAGGATGGGAAGCCCTTTAGTCTGAGTAGTCTCCATACATTCTTGAGAAGGTCCTGGTGGGCTGCAGTTTCCCACCTTGTCCACTTCTTGCTTTCTTTTGTTGTCCCACAGATTTATCTGCCTCTCGCCTAGAAAAAGCCAAGGAGGTTGGGGCAGATTTCACTCTCCAGGTGAAGAATGAGACCCCACAGGAGGTGGCTGCCAAAGTAGAGAGCCTGCTTGGATGCATGCCTGAGATCACCGTGGAGTGTACCGGGGTGCAAGCCTGCATCCAGGCTGGCATTTACGTGAGTACCGCCAGTCCACAGCATAGAGCAGCTGGTGAATGACAGGTTATTTCACACCTGCGGCACTTAATTTCTGTGTGGAGGAGAGAAGGTGCTCATTAGATGATGTGGACATGGAGAAGGAGTTGCTGGAGTCAGGGGGCCGGTTAGCTCAGCTGGTTCGAGCATGGTGCTTTTAACACCAAAGTCACGGGTTCGATCCTCGTTCAGTCCCCATGTGTTGCCTGATCTGGTTGGGGGGCGTCCCTGCCCATGACAGGGAGGTTGGATTAAATGATCTCTGAGGTCGCTTCCAGCCTCGGCCATTCTGTGATTTCTATGATTGTATGAAATGGGACAAGCAGCTAAAAGAGGCTCTTAGTTTTAAATCTCTCCCGCTGAAATCCAGTCTAGCAGGAGTAGGGAAGTGATCGTGCCACAGTACTTGGCCCTGTGGCCACAGCTTGAGCAGTGTTCAGTTTTGGGTGCTGCAGTATGAGAAAGAAGTGGAGGTGCTGGAGCAGGTCCAGAGAAGGGCAGTGAAGCTGGTGAGGGGTCTAAAGAACATGTCTTATGAGGAGTGGCTGAGGGAGCTGGGGTTGTTTAGTCTAGAGAAGAGGAGGTTGAGGGGTGAGCACATCGCTCTCTAACTGCCTGAAAGGAGGTTGTAGTGAGGTGGATGCTGGTCTCTTCTCCCAAGTTACTAATGATAGGACAAGAGGAAATGGCCTCAAGTTACACCAGGGGAGGTTTAGATTAGATATTAGGAAAAATTTCTTTACTGAAAGAGTGCTGAGGCACCGGAACAGGCTGCCCAGGGAAGTGGTGGAGTTGCCATCCCTGGAAGCGTTCAAAACCGTGTAGATGTGGCGCTTTGGGACATGGTTTAGTGGTCTTGGTGGTGTTGGCTTGATGGTTGGACTAGGTGTCTTTTCCAACCTTAATGATTCTGTAATTCTACAACTTGCCCTAATCCTGAGTGCCAGGCATTTTCCCAGGATGAGATTTAGATACCAAAATCCTCCAGAGATTTTTTTTTCCCAAAGGTCACTTTTTATTTCATTTTAGTGTGTGTTTTGTGCTTATGGGCTCCTGACAACACCCTGACTTCACCACTGTGCCCCAGCCAGGCCATTGTAGCCACAAACTGTGTCTTGACATCTTTTTTTCAGGCTCTGGAGACTGTGTTCTGCAAAATATAACATATCTGTGTCCTTCTTCTCCAGGCCACTCGTTCCGGTGGTACCTTGGTGCTGGTGGGGCTGGGGTCTGAGATGGTCACCGTGCCCATTGTGAATGCCGCTGTGCGGGAGGTGGATATCCGGGGAATATTCCGCTACTGCAACACGTGAGTCAAACTCGGCGAGTCTTCTTCATGTTCTTTCCTCAGTGCTCCAAATCAGTGACTCGCTCCCATCTCCTGCTCTCCATTTCCCTCACAGGTGGCCGGTGGCAATTGCTCTGCTCTCATCCAAGCGGATTAACGTCAAGCCCTTGGTTACGCACCGCTTCCCCTTAGAAAAGGCTCTCGAGGCCTTTGAGACCACCAAGAGGGGTGAGGGGGTCAAAGTCATGCTGAAGTGTGACCCCACCGACCACAACCCCTGAGATGCAGCAGTGCCTGGCCCTTTTCCTGCCCCGTTTGTAGAATCATTGAATCGTTATTGTTGGAAGAGACCTTCAAGATCGACTCCAGCTGTTCCCATTGCCTGTCTGAGATACGAAGTGTGAGGCTGATGTAAAGTCACCCTCATGCAGGTGCTGCTTTGTCATAGAGCTAGAAAATCAAACAATAATGAGGGTGAATGGCTCTGGGGTAGACGCCGTTAACAAATGGAGAAGCAATAGGGAATAGTTCAAATCAAGATGCTGCTGTTTGGTTAGAGAAGGTTGTTTACACGGTTGGCTTTTCCCTGGCAGAAAAGCCCGGGAATGTGGGGGAAGCAAGGACAGAGGTGTGGAAGCTCTTCCCTATGCAAATTCTTTGCCTCGAGGTCCCACCTTCTCTTGGGGGTGCTCTAACAGCCTGTGGAACAAAGCCTGGCCAGCCCAACCTCTATGGGAAGCACATTGAGGTGATTCTCTCCTTGCTCAGATATTTTTTTTTTTGAAAGAAGCTAGTCTGGAGGCCAGCTGGGACCATATCTGCTGCTTTTGGGGTACAGGAGGAGGAGAGCGCAGGGGTCAGCATCACTCAAAAAAGGTTTTACCACTGCAGATGAATCAAACTTTTTTCAGGGATCTGGGGGCCTTCCTGCTGAGTTTGTGAGCCACGAACGAGATACTAACCACATATGCAAGTTGCACATAAGAAAATCTAACCTTCGATTACAGGTGATTTGAATTTTTAGTAATTTAATACTGAGAGGTCAGTCCCTTTCTTGGGCCGGTACTGAACGTTTCCTCAATAAACGCTACCTGTCTGATGCATCTACGTCCGTTAAAGTGGTGCATGAATCATGAAACCTTTAACAACCCAACCCCTTCTGAATCAAAGCGGAACTTGTAGAACTCTACAAGTTTTACAGGGCTGAGAAATAATCCAGGGGACCCTTCCTAACCCATTTCCCAGTGGGCTGGGGGCAAGGCCAGGACTGCATCACAAATATTGCAGGTCTTCAGCTGAACAAGGCAGCTCCAGGAGGCAAGAAAGCGTTTTAAAACTTCAACCAGCTTTATTTAGGTGTGGGGCGGTGTCAGAAATTCTCATAGTGATGTGCGAAGTAGGTCTGGTCCTTCTTGTTCAGCTGCCGACAAGCCTTCTCCACGCTCTTTGTCATCCCGGGCGGGCCGCAGCTAAACACTCCGATCTTCTGCACCTGGGGAAGGAGGGCACCGAAGGGGTCAAACCCAACAGCACTAGATCCCCCCCAGCCCCACCTTGGCCCCTCATCCCACTGGCAGGGATAGGATAGGCTGGAACTGGGCCCCCCCATACTGGGTGCCCCTCCTCTGACCCCCAGCTAGGCACTGACCTCAGGGTGGACCTCTTGCAGCGAGCTGAAGAAAGGGACGAAGGGAGGGCGCCCAAAATGGGTAATGGAACGTAGCCCTGTGAACAGGCTCTTGTTCAGGACCTTCTGGAAGTGACGCTCACAGATGTACTAGAGGAAAAAGAGAGGGAGAGACACCAGCCGATCTCAGATGGGCCACCATGGTCCAGCAAGGTGTGGCAGCCTCCCCAACGCATGGCCAGGCTCACCAGCATGGTGGTGCGCAGATCGAACTTCTCGGCCAGCTGCGTGATGTAGATGTGCACGGAGACCAAGTTGTTCCTGTCTGCTTCCTCCACCTCGTGGATAATGTCTGCCAGCCACTCAAACTGCCGCTGTGTGCGTGTCACCCAGATGAAGTAGATCTGTGGGGATGGGGCTCAGATTGGGGCCATGTCCATGGAGCACCTTCCCAGGTGAATCATGGAAGGTTTTACTCCCCCCAGAAGAGGCCAGAAGCAACAGGAGGCCTCTCAGGAGGGCTCTTGTCTTTCAGATACTTCATCTTACCTTCTTACACAGCAGCTTGGAGTTTATGGATGACTTGAAGACCAGATCCTTGAGGATGGACGCGAAGGGCGTCACCCCAATGCCTCCTCCCACCAGCACTGACACCTCAAACTTGTTCCACTCCTGGTGGCCCTCACCAAAGGGCCCATCCAAATAGAGCTGGAAGGGAACCAGCCATCAGCAGAGCATCTCCCATCTCCATTCCCAGGTCTCGGCCACCTTCAAGGCTGGAGAAACTCCCTGGGCTTTGAGCACAACCCAGTGCCAAGATGCTCTGGGACGCGTCCCCGCCCTCGGAGAAGCGGCGCAGGGCTCACCTTGGGCAGCTTGCCGATGAGGGCCAGGCTGCCTGGGGAGTAGAGCTCCCGCAAGCGGGTGGTCCAGGGCCCCACGGCCCGGATGTGCAGGCTCAGCGTGTCCTCGTGTGGGGCCGAGGTCAGGGTGAAGGGGTGGTATTCGGTGGTGCCCAGGGCCACGCAGGCGATGCGTACCCACTGCCCTGACTTGTAGTCGAAGTCCTGCGGCCGCTGGAACTGGAGGTGGGTGACACCTGAGAGGGAACAAGGATGGGGACTTTGCTGAGGTGGAGGCATTGAGTGATGGAGGTTCCTCCACCGCTATTCTGAGGAGCCTGGGCTGAGTTCCTGCCAGGGCTGTCGTGGTACCTGAGGGCAGGAGCTCAGCCTTCACCACACCAATCTCCACCTTCTTCCTGCTCAGGCTGAGCAGCTTGTCTGCACCATAGATGAGGGCTGGGATTATGAAGTAGATGTGGAAGCGGGGCTGCTGGATCAGTGCGTAGCTGCCATGGATGATGACCTGGGTAAGGAGTAAGCTCCCCCTCAGCCTGACAAGCCATCACCCCACAGCTGATAGGGCAGCAGCTTGGTGAGTCTGGATTGGGGCCACCAGCTCCTTTGGGACCTCCTTGGCTATTTCATCTCACCCCATGAGCTTTTGGTGTGTTGGCACCACCCCTCCCTCCCAGCCCGAATGGTTTACCAGGACATAGAGCAGCACGTAGAGGTGGTGGGTGATCCAGAAGCCCTGGAAGCTGACACGTCGGAAGTGGTGGGTGGCAAACACGTACATCACGGCCAGGATCATGAGCAGCAGCACTCCTGTCATGCCTGTGAGAAGAAGGGTTGGGAGGTCCTGGGGGAAATCAGGGCAGCCCCAGAAGGGGTCCACCAGAGGTGTGCAGGTCTGCCTGCTAGGTGATCTCACCTGGAATAGTCTGGAAGAACCACCAGTAGTACTTCTGTGGGAGCTGTGACCTGGAGAGGGATGAGAGATTGCACCATAGAGTGGTCAGAGCATTTCCATTTTCAATCCTGTCCATGGCCAGGACACTCTGTCTGGACTGGGCTTTACATTTCACATACCCGTCATCCGTAAAGATGCTGGAAAAGAGGCAGGACAACACGCTGAGAGGTGTGACTGAGAAGATGTAGACATTCACCACGTGACCTGCAGTGTGGAGCACTGTAAGAGACAGAAACCAGAAGATAAAAGTGTCACTCTCCCTGTGGATGGAGATGCTGCAAACCCTGCTGCTGTGCCTTGGAACTCAGCGATTCCTCCTCGGGTGCAAAGTGTCTCTCCAGGCTCCATAAGGGTCTTCAAGCTTCTACCTGGTTCACGATGGGCTGGTCCTTCTGCTTTAGCTCTGTTTCACGGGCAGCACATCCCCCAGCAGCCAACCTACCTGAGAAAATCAAGGCTGCCATGGCGACCCAGCGGTGGAAGTCCAAGGCAGCATCGAAGGGGATGTAGTGATTGAGGAAAGTCTCCCGCAGGACGGTGATGAGGTTGCGGCACATGGTGAGCAGGATGTAGGAGTACATGAAGGAGATGCAGGCGGCTGATCCTCGGGAGATGATGATCCCCACAAAAGTGGTCTGTGAAATCCCAGTGCTGGGGGACGTGAAGGCGTAGTCTGGGAAGAGAGAAAGAGGAGGAGACATCAATGTGTCGGGCACTGAGGGCCATCAACTTTCCTGCAACAAGGAGACAGCCACCTGTGTGGCTCCACCAGGAAAAGGTCACCAGGGATGGGGCTGGGTGGGGACAGGGGCACGAATCTACATATCAGACACTCCCCCTAGAACTGCTGGGTGACAGGTTGTCCTTGAAGGTCAGGGGAGGGGATTGTCCTTCTCTGCCTGGCACTGTGAAACTGCACTTTGTCCTCAGCTGGACAGCCCAGTATGAGAGGTGTCAACAAACTGGAATGAGTCCAGTGGAGGTCACCAGGATGGGTGGGAGCTGGAGGATGTCACTAGGGGAAAGGCTGAGGGAAACAGGCTTATCTAGGCTGGAGGAGATGGGTCAGAGAAGACCTCGTGACTATCTGCAACCACTTAATGGGTGTTAAAGAGGGGAGACAGCCAAACTCTCAGAGACACAGAGTGAAAGGATGAGAGGCAACAGCATGAGTTTTGCTGTTGCAAATCCATGTCTGGAGCAAAATAAAACCTCTTCACAAGGAGGAGTCAAAAACTGGCACAGGCCTAAAGAGGTGGTGGGATCTCCAACCTCAGGGCTCTTCAAGCATTCCCTAGACAAGTCTTTCAGCAGCGTGATTCGGCTTTCACATTGGCCTTGCTCTGAGACATGCATTGGACCAGACCCCTTCAGAGGTCCTTCCCAACCCCAGTTGGTTATTCCATGGGAAGACCAATGCTGTTGCCCAAAGCTGTGCCAAGACCTTTCACATCCCAGCATCCCCAACTCAATCAACCAGCTTCGAGGAGTCAAGCCCACATGCGCCTCCACGTCTGGGGCAGCAGAGCTGGATGGTCACTCACAGTAGGCTCGCTCCACAAACACGCCAGCAGTGATGGTGGAGAACAGGACCACGCAGACGATGTGGCGCCGGTAATTCTCAATGAAGCGCTTGAGCTCCTGGACCTTCTGCTGAACTTTGCTCCGCTCATACTTCTTCCGTTGCGCTTCAGTGTACAAATGCAGCTGGTAGTGGTTTGTCCTGGCAAATATGGGAGGTGTAATTTTGAGGTTTCCCGGCATCGTATGGCTCAGGGCCATGCTGCCAAGATTTGGCTCTTCCTCCCTGTGAGACTATCTCTGCACATCAGTGTTGGCAGTGCCCTGGAGGACACAGTGCTAGTGCATCATCTGGGGTCATTCCCACTCTGGAAAGCTGATAATGGATGTGCAAGATAGTGACTCATAAATGAAACCACAGATAAGAACTGTAAAAGGTAATTATTCGTAGCGATGTTCAACCCTCCAAACTGATCCTGGGATTGAGGAAGTTCCTTGGGAGCTCTTATGGCAAATCAGGATCTTCTGCCCAAGGACAACCACCACTTAACAGCTTCCTTGTAGAAATACTTGCTGCTGCTGCAGCAGTGAGGACCAGAGTCTGTCTTACAGCTCTTGCCTCTCCACAGGCAAAACCTATGGGAAAGAAGTCCTGGGATCTGGAGTTGCCCACTTCATTCTTTAAATTTATTTTTTTAACTTTTTTTTTTTTTAATTGCATTATCCAGACCCAGCCTTGACACCATCCCCACCAAGACAGGGCTGTCCCTGCAGCTCCTTGGCCAGCTGTGATGTCCTCGCCAGTGCTGGGGCATCTCCTACAAGGATGGTGTCACATCCTCTCCCTACGTGTCGTGGAGATGCCGGCTCCTTTCAGCAGTGCTGTTTGACCAGAGGGTTACCCAGTCTGACACAGACACAGAAGAAAAAGCAACCAGGCTGGACCTGAACTCAAGAGATGTGCCCAACGAGGAGAGGGCATACTCACTTTCGGCCTGGTCTCTTCCTCAGCTCTTGACCTTCTTGCTCCACACAGTGGCTCGTGGTATCCAGCTTTGGGTCTTTCTCCTCCTCAGAGACAGCTCTGTTGGAAATGGAGCTACGTCTAGGCCAGGGCTGTACTTGTGGGAAGGGCTTGCCAAAATTTTTCCCTGTTTCTCCATTTTTCCATCTCAGGTTCAGCTAAGAAGGTGTCCAGCTCATTCCTGTAAGCTCACTTGCATTAAATTTAATTGCATGATACGTGGGGCTGCATTCATGCCAAGATAACCCATCGCACCTCTGAAAAGCAAGGCAGGACTCCCATCCCCACGTAGTAGGTGCAAGGGAGAGCTCTTCAGGGGGCAGGCATGGAGGGCAGCAGCCCCACCATGGCATCCATCTTGGTCATGGGCATGTGCCAGCATGGTCATCCCCCTTCTCCAGCACTGGGTGTGCGAATGCCCAGTGGGAGCGTGGACGAAGGATCGATGTGCCTCAGGGCAGAAAGAGAAGAAGAAATAGCAGGAGCATCAAGACTAAGGAGGAGAGCTTACCCTTTTGGCACTGTCTTTTTGATGAAGGAGACGCGGTTGTGTAGGTTTTGCTTCAGCACCTCAGGGACACCTTTGAGGAGCCAAAAGGGACAAGCAACCACTCAGAGCATGCACAGCATGGCAGATGAGGCTTAGGCACCTCCTCTGGGCAGGAGTGCAGTCGGGAGAGGCTCTCAGCTGACCCAAACGTGTCGCATGTGCCAGGAGAGCTGATGCCCCTTGACTGCAGTTGGGTTGGAGGGACTGATGGGACAGGATTTGAGTGCTGCAGGGCCCACGGTGACCCACGCTCCTGCCCACTGACCTTTGATGCACAGCTGGGTGAGGCGGAGCTCGCTGTCATGGTCTCGTAGCATATAGTGGAAATCCTCCCAAGTGAGCTCATCCCTGTCCTGAAACCCTGAGGCCTGAAACATGGACTCGGTCACCTGCTCTGCCTGCTCTCTTGACAAGCAGTTGTTGGAGATCTCGATGAAGGACCTGGAGCAAGGAGGGGAGATTGGAACTTCAGAAGACTGCAGCTTAAGTCCTTCAGATAACACAGGGCAGAGCCCCAGATCCAGTTTCATGGGAGAAATGGTTTTTTGGTTGCAGGTGTTGAGCCCACGGTCTGTCGTGTATAACACCCTTGTAGAGTGAAGCACAGGAGGTGCTTCTGAAGACATCTGTGTTTACAGACATTATGAAAACATCTAGAGACATGAGGAGAAGTACCTGAGCATCCTCAGAAACTCCTCCTTGGAGAGGAACCCATTTTCATCAATGTCATACATCCTGAACATCACCTTGGACTTCTCCTCTGGGGACCCTGGTGGAGACGGAGCAAGGCAAAGTAAGGACAAAATCCTATTTTCATCAGCAAAGATGCTTTCAAACATTGAGGGTCTGGACCTGCAGTGGTGATGCCTCACCCAGCTCTGAAAAGACCGAAAGCTGCTTGAACAGCAACTGAATGTGAAAAGCATGGCACCCTTCCACTTGACCTTCTCAAGTGCAAGGTGGAAAATCGGGTATCTACCCTTGCACATTGCTTTGCAAATTTAAAATGCGCTTTTGCACAACAGTGAATTTTTGGGGTATCTGCTTTGATTGAACCTGGCATTCGCCACCTCCATATATGAATCCACCTTTCCAGTGGTCACTGAGGAAGGATCAGATATGATAACAGAGAGTCAAATTTGTCCTAAGCAAAGGGAATTTTAATCTGTAGGAGTGTCTACAGATTGACCTGCTGGGTGAATCTAGTTCTTCACCCTGCTAGTGATGTTGCCAGAACCTAAGACAGAAGGAAATAGAGGAAAACACTACCAGCTCCAGCTCCTACCTTTCATGAAGACCACCAAGATGTCGAGGAATTCCCGGAAGGAGATGTAGCCGTTGCTGTCTTTGTCGGCCAGGGAGAACATGGAGTCCACAAACATGGAATGGGCTTTGAGCCCCAGGGCCTCGGCAAACTCAGCCCTGCTCAGCTCACATGTTAGAGATTCCTTTGCCTTCTGTGAAGATTCAAAGTTGAGCTCTCCGGCATTGGACCTGTCGATTTCCAGCACCTGCAGGTTTTGTCCCACAAAAGATAACCCCCTGAGTGCTGGCAGAGCAGAAGGCCAGTCTGCACTTGCCTGACCTATTGCACAAAGAGCAGTGGCTTCCCTGGCACAAAAGTCATGGCAGATACCACGGGGAAGTCCTGCATCTCTCCTACACAATGTAGCTTTCACCCTGAATGCTACAGACCATGACGGAGACTTCAGTTACACCATCCAAAAGACACCTTTAGACACTCATATCACCACAGCGGAATCCCCTTTTGTCTTCTGCAAGGGAAAATGTCCCTTGTTCCCGAAAGTGTTGGCAGCTTCCTCGTGCTTACAGAGATCAACAGCAGTGACATTCAGTCGATGCAGAAGTACTTTCCTCTGTGCCTCAGAGCCTGCCACACCTCCACCTACCTGAGCAAACAGGTGCCTGAAGAAAGTCTCCAGAATTTGTCTTCTCTGCTCCTGGGTGACTGCCCGCTTCATCAGGCTCTGCTCCTTCATCTCACACATGTGCAGATCGAGGCCACCCTCCTCCAAGTAGCTTTGTAACTTCCCAAGGAATTTGCTCCTCTCTGCCTCCTCATTGAAGAGCAGCACCTGCAGAAGACCCCCCCACCAAATGTCTTTGAGTAGCAGAGACTTAGTCAGGGGTGGCTCCACGGCACAAGCTGGACCTGGTGGTTCTCAGGAGGCCACAGCCACCCTTCAGGGACCTATGCTGCTCCCAGCACCCAGGATGGAGTGGTGCAGGGCATATGTGACCAGTGGTAGAGGATTGTGGAGGGTCCAGGGAAAGGTATCGTATACCAGACACTGTGGTACTTACCAGGTCATACTCCTTGGGGCTCTTCAGGAGCAGAGCTTTGTTCCCTTTGTTGCTGGAGAGGATCACTTCCACCCTTTGATGGGCTTTCAGGTTGATGCTCCGGAGCACAGACCCTCTCCCATCCAGAACCTTGAGCACTTTATCAGGTTGGAGCTGAATGTAGACAGGAGAGCTGGCTGTCTTGGGACCGCGCCACTCCATGGCTGACGGGAGAGAGCACAGGACTCAGCTGGAGAGGGCACCATCCCAGCACCTCCTTCACCAAGAGGCAGTTTGGGAGTGATTTCATGAGCAGACACATGTTAAGGGAAAAATGATGATCTCCCAACAGCAGAGCTCAAGAGCCTGCAGCACAGGGGAGGAGTAGAGACCATGGAGCAAGGAGGCAGGATTTTTTCAGTGTCCAGAGCAAGGAGATACAGTCTCTGTCCTGGAGCTACTGGTGCAATTGCTCTACAGGGGTTTATTTCAGTCAAAGTGTGATCTAGAGAGGGTTGGAATTAGAGGGTGATAGGAGGACTAAGGTTGGAAGGGACTCAAGTTGGAAGAGTCTCTTGCCCAGCCTCCTGCTTAGAGTTGGAAGAGCAACAGGGTCAGGCCAGTCTGATCAAGGCTTTATCTGGTCAGGTCTTGGCTAGGAGGGAGACTGCACAACCTCTCTGGACTACCTGTTCCACTGTTTGACTGTCCTTTTGGGGAAAGAGCTAGCCCTGCCTCGGTATGTGCCCTGAATTCAGCGACGTCACCAGACACCATTGCAGGACCAATGGTGCCATCTCACCAAGTATCGCCTCGCTGCTCACATCCTGCCGCACGGTGGTGCCGTGCTTCTTCTGCAGCTTCTTGAAATCTCTCTTGCGGAGAACAGCAACAATCCAGGCGACAAACAGAGTCACTGGGGGACACATGGGAGAAGGAGCCATGAGAGGCCACAAAGCTCCTTCCCACTTCGGCAGCGTTGTCGGTGAGACTGGGGCAAACAGGGGCTTATTTCTTCCCTGCCACCCCCAGTTCCATGCTGCGTGGACACACTGAATGAAGGAGTGCTCTGTGAAAGCTCTGCTCCTTCCTGGTGCCCAAGGGCCCTCCACCTTGAGGACCTCAGGAGTCACCAAGACTCAGCAGCTCCTGCTAGGAGGTGCTTGGTCCATGGGCACTCGGCCCCTTTCTCTGGTAGTAAAATAGAGTGGCAAACCTAAAGGCAGACAGCAGAGGACAATGATGATGCCGCCAAAGCCAGCGGCACTGCCTTCGAAGTAGTCCAGCACCATCATAGGTGTGCAGTTGGCCAGGTGTTGAGCCGTCAGCTGCTGGGGCTGGGGGCACGGGTTCCCTGTGTGAGGGGAGAAATGTTGTGAGCATCATGGACCTTTTACCCATCTCACCTCCATTGTTCCCAGGAACCTTTGTCTGAGGATGCTGGTGGGGTTTGTTGCTGAATGACCCAGGGAGGACTGCAAAACCAGGATGCTTGAGTTAAGACTCCAGATCCTAGGGGACTACCCTTGTTTTTGGCTTGAACTTTAGCCTGCCACAGCAAACCAAACACAGAACTGGACTCAAGTGCTCTGGGAGTTCAGCACCATCACCTCTCCTGATGGGATGGGCTGAGCAAGAAGCACCCTTGGGCTACAGCAAGTTCACAGAATCATAGAATCATTAAGATTGGAACAGACCTCTAAGATCATCAAGGTCAACCATCAACCCACCACCACCATTACCACTAAACCATGTCCTGAAGTGCCACATCTACAGGCTTTTTAAGCACCTCAAGGGATGGCAACTCCACCACTGCCATGGGCAGCCTGTTCCAGCGCCTCACCACTCTTTCAGTAAAGAAAATTTTTCCAATATTCAATCTAAACCTCCCCTGGTGCAAATCGAGGCTGTTAAGTTAGGGCACAGACCTTCCAGGTCTGCTTCCCTTCCAGACTTGCTGGTGCTGTTGGCTCCCTGCACCCTGCACAAAGCACCCACCCTCGCTCCAGACGAACACGTGGGGCTGGAGGTCTGTGGGGTCTGCGTAGGTGACGGCAGCCAGGATGTCGTGGAAGGTGGTGTTACGAATCTCACTGGCTTCCTCCGCTGTGAACAGCCTGGGGAAAAAAAAGACATGGAGACAAACAGTGGCCCTGGATGTCACTGGATGACAGCAGGAGAGATTCACTACCCAGACCATTTTAGGAACTGAGGATGTTTTTTTCCTTCAGCTCCACTTTTTCTGCATCACTGCAGCTTGCAGAGAGCAGCCTGCCACATACGGGAAGAGGCATTTACCCATTCTTGGTGTTCTCAAACCAAAACCTGTCGCCATCACGCAGGCGCACAAACTGGTCCAGGATGATGGCACTGAAGAGGGAGCTGTCAGCCTCCAGCATGCCTCCAGGGAGCAGCTCCAACCTAGCCGTGTTGTTGGCATACAGGGAAGCAACCTTCTCCAGGACCTGGCCAGAAACCCCCCCCAACACACACACATGAGCAGAAGGAATTCTGCCTGGGTATCAGAAAGCCTTGGCAATCCTCAAGAAGAGCAAGGAGAACACATCTCCTCAGGCGTCGCGCATCAGACCCATGCAGCCTTGAGCTTAGACTTGAGAAGCTAAGCATCTCTCCCCAACATCTCAGCTCCTGGAGGAGCAGAGCACCCAGGGAAGGATGCACCCTCTTCCTACACTGCAGAAAAAGCCAAATCCTGCCCCAATGTCCTTTGACCCACGCGCTTTCCATGCCCAGACCAGTTCCCTGTTACCTGCTGCTCCAGGTGTGGGCCAAGGTCCAACCAGTTCTGGAGAGGTTCCAACCCAAATCGCTCCCGGACTTGGTTATAGGTGGGCAGGCCAAGGTCTCTCCCACGCTGAAGCCAGCTGGCCACATAGTCAGTGCGGGAGTACTTCAGGGGCCCGTACCAGTAATCTGTGAGTGGATTTGAAGCCGTGGTTGTGGCAAGGCAAAGCAGGAGGAGCAATCCCAGCTACCATAGCTGCCGGGTTGGTCTCGTCCCTCTGCCTTGGTCCATGCTGAACATGGTGATCATCTCTGTGCCTTTGCTAGGATGGTCCCATGGAAACACTTAACATGCCCTGGAGCTCCTCCATTAACGAGGTTGAAGGTGGTCTGAGCATGTGGTTGGGCGGTGATGGGACCTGCCTCCCCACCTCAGCCCCTGCACAGCGCCAGGAGAGAGGGCCCCCCTACCGATGCACCAGGGGAGTGCAGACCTTGGAGATCTTCCACCACAATGTTGTCCTCCCGCTCCGCAATCTGTGAGCTCATCCCCAGCAGGAGGCTGTCCACGTCCTCTGCCTGCAGCAGCTGAGGGGAGATGGAAAGAGCAGGTGATTCCTTGCAGGACCAAGGACATTGGCCAGCCTCGCATCCCTGAACCAGTGTCCACAGGGGACAGACCCTGGCTGTTGGGGGACCAAGGACAGTTTATTTTCTCTGTGTCAGCTCAACCTTAAGGTCTGAGCCTGCTGCGGCTGAAGGCAGCATCTGAAGATGTCTGGATGGGCATGATCTCACACCTCTTGGTGGGCCATCATGCTCTGCACGCAGTTTCCTGGTCAGACCACTGTGAGGTTCTCCATGATGTAAAGAAAGGAAGGAA